GCTGTCGGGCCCACTGGAATCCACGGGGGTGAAACAAATTCAATTATGCTTTTATAGATCCTGCTCAAAAAAAGATTTCAACTGTTTAACCAAGTACAGCTCATTCTTCCACCTTCTTACTCTGCAACCAAACCAAGTGCCCCACACTGCAGGTAGGTGCCGAGAAATTCCGAAGCCTGAAAAAATAATCCATGCAGGTCAAAGGCAAAAACTTACTCCAGGGTTAGAGCTACTGTCCCCAAGAACTCTAAAAACACTTATAGAGAATCCAAAGTTATTTCTGAAATCGCCTTTCTAACAAAAGTTCTTTTTCTCCCCGAACAGCATATAAAATGACCAAATCTTGAAAGAGAAAAGAAGCAAAGCAACAATTCACTACCAGGAACACAGAAAATCCCAGAGGGAGAAGGCAATATCTCTGAATCATGGATGGACTTGGAAAGTTCGGAAGGATTCGAGTGCTTCCCTTCCAGAAAGACAATTCTGGATCACCTCCCTAGAGGAGGAAGCCTGTGGTTTGTAATTGGTGTTCTAGCTCGGCCTCTCTCCCCTGAGACTGCAATCACGCTCTCTACCTGCTGACACAAAGTGAGGGTGGAGCAGCTAGAGGCAACCACCCCCCCCGGCCTGCCCCTCCTCCTCCTGGCTGGCTAGGGCTCCGGCTTGGGCGCGCACACTCTTAACCAGACACGTTCTTTTGCTCTCTCTTCTCTCAGCTCCTCTACTCCCTCTATTGAGCCACAGCCAAATTGCATCCAGTTCAATACTCAATTCCTTTCTCTGGGTAAGCAAGCTACCACATGTAAATCAGGGCCAAACAGATATCTAAGCAGATTCTGCACCTACGAGCACAGCGGTATGAGGAAATAAAGAGAGAGAGAGAGAAAGAGGGAAAAAAAAGGAAACCCAGAAGATGAATAGACACAGGGTTTTGCAAATAGAGGTAGAGGTTCAAAGAGATTTCTGTTTATTCTGGGTTTTAGTGTCTATAAATGGCACAAAGCCAGAATACAGTGATCCTGTGCTGTAATATTTATTGATTTATTGTTCTTATGTCTACTACCTTGACAAGAACTCTATTTTATGCATAGTTTTTCTTCAGCTCTTACTGTCTTAAATTTAATAACTTTTCTAAACTGTGCCTCGATGGAGCTTTTAGAGCAGGTTGATGTCAGAGGTCTGGAATCCGCTGTTTTCTTCTTACATCTTTGGGAGGTGAAATAGTACTATGACTAGACCTATGTCCTCAATGTAAGACTGCAGGTAAGTCTTTGTCATAAATACAAGCAAAGGGGTAAAATATATGGGCCTAATGAGAAGAATATAGTCAAAATAAAACTAATTTTTGGCTGATTACTATACTCATGAACTATAACCCTTCCTGTAATCTTGTCGTTAGAAATAATGCATTTCTAATGTTTTTAAAATTTGAATTTTCAAATTTTCCAAGTTATATTTAACTGTTGCTAGACAGTTTTTGACCTGCTGCCAATAATCTTTCCAGATCGCACAAACATACAATGATGTGAATGTGGTTAAACACTACTGAACTGTACACTTAAAAATGGTTAAGATTTGTTTGTTATGTGCTTTAAAAATTGTGGTAAGAAGCACATAACATCAATCTTAATTTTTTAAATTGTGCAAATGAATTATACAAATTGATCATTTGCAAAATGTGGATAACAATAATTGTACTGTAGGTTTGTTGTAAAGATTAAATGACATAATGCCTCTAAAATAAAAAATTATGAGTAGTCTATTCACCTTGAGCAGTTTTTCCCTAAAGAAGATTTATGGAGGTTGTTTGGACATTTTAGGCCTAATAACTAACCTAGAGAGATGAATTCTAATGTAAATTCTTAACTTAGCACTTTTTCTTTATTGGCTGGACATTAAGAACGTAGTGCAAGTATAGACCTTTTATAGCTCCTTTCTAAAGAATAGAAATAGATCTAATTCTTCTGGAGAGAATTTTTAAAAATCTGTTATGGTTTTATATTTTTATTTTATGTATGCCACATAATAGCACAGCATAAATAATGTAAAATATATTATTACATGTGATATATGCAAAAATATATTTAAACTGAAGTGAGCTACTAATGGACTTTGACTCACTTATTTCTGCTTAAATCTTTCAAAGGAATCAAGAGAACCAAACCTGAGTTAATATACACATTTAGTTGAAAGAAGGAAGAAAACAGAAATATGGTTGCCCTCTCCTAAGGAAATTCTAAGATCTGGGAATAATGATAATATATATCATGAACTTCGGTACCCTGAGATACTAAGGATCAAACCAAACAGCTCTATGTAGTTTAGTTCACTGATATACTGTGTTTATTTAGGTCACTAGAACTGACAAGCAAGAAAAATTATCCTCTGGCTTGAAAGCTTTGGAGTTACCCCGCAGGCGATGGTATACCACAGCCTCCACAGAGATGTCATAAAGACACCATCGCTGTGGTAATGAAATGCCCATCTCCCTGACATCTACCACCAGCTCTTACACAGAAGACAAACCATCCCTCAGTATTTATTTTCACGTCTGGATTGACTATAGTTACTGAAGATCATTCATCCTCTACCAAAAAACTAGGTTTCTATAAATATGTCCAAGAATTGTCTTTACCCTTAATGGCACCTAAAAAATTCAATCTCTATTCAAGTGCAAATGAAAAAATAAAAAAGCCAGGACACATTTTCTTAAAAAGTCAGATTCTTTGAAAAACAGAGTACATTCTCTTTTGAACTTCCCTGTTATGATTAATAGTCATAATGACTGAGGTTTCTAATAATCATCAATTAAACAGTAAAAACAAGCAAGACAACAAGTCAAGTTGAAACGCTTACTTTATTGTTGACTGATTAAAATTTATCATGCTTAAGGTGCTGAAATACTGAAGTGCTATTCAGGAGCCTTGTTAGTATGTGTCAGACCCAACTGGCTAATTCACACAAAGATTTTATTTTCTCTTTTTCCATTTTACCCAAGTCAGTGATGATAGCTTTAGTTGATAGGCAGCAGGCATGTGAGTATAGCAGGAGATCTAGCTCCTTCATCTGTTGCATTCATATACATATTTTAAAAAAGTTTGGAAAGCTGATAAAGGCATTTAGTTAATTGAGCCTTAAAACCACTGAAACGAAATCCATGCCAAGGTTCCTACTTGACACATGTTCTTCAAAATCTATTATCTCTTTCAACATATACAAAGCTAAGAAAGGCATATTTACAGGAAGAAATATCACCACGGTATATAAGCTTTTCAACATGACAGAGAAAAAAGCCAAATTCCTTGATTTGGAAATTGGGTCTCCTCTTCATATACTCTGCCAAAAGACATAGTCTGGCCAAAAGATGTAGGAGTCTTGATAATCTGCTCATTTTTTAAATCTTACTAATAAAGATGAATAAATGCCCATCACACGGACATCAACTAGTAGAATCACATGGACCAAACAGGTCACTTTTCAGAACCTACTTTCACATCTAAACTGAGTCACTAGTACAGAGCTCATCCTTTTCCAAAAAACTATCTCTGTAACACTTCTAGGGTTTGACATCATCAGAAAGGCACAATGCAATTTAATGAATTGTTACATCCACAATGCTAACATAGTACTTATACCACTGAGTGCCTTTTCTTTTTAATTACTTTCATATTCCTAGGCTTTCCTTTTGTTTCTGCAGTGCTTATTAGGAAAACTAAAGCAGAATCCAATAAGAAAGGTCTAGCCAATTTAAAAGAGTTTAAATCAGAAAGTTTCTTCCTGTCCTTTGATGAGCAAGTAAGGGATCAACCACAGAAAGTGAACAACGAAAATACCTCTCCTAAAAACCAGTCCCACAATCCTACTACTCAAATTTAGAGTCCTACAGAGGGGATAAGATAAAAATGTTATAGTCGATCCCACTATCTAAAATTTTTCTCAGAAGCTTAAACCAGATACAGACTATTAAAAATACTGGAGGTAAAGCTTCTGTTAAATGACTACTAATCAGTTTATCCCAAAATTTGCACACAACATCTGACATAGATGAGAATTTATACTTACTGAATGTAAAAACTAAAATAATAAAGCACTGTTTTAAATCTCTTAATGTTTTTGTTTTTACATTGTATATTTCCCCCCCAAAGTAAAAATATTACACATATCCCCTTTATCCTTTCATCTTACAATAGTAATAAAAACATAAAGTTTTAAAACTCTTAAATCTACCAGCATTTATGAATATATTAAACAAATTAAATACTTTTCTTTAGAAGACATTTAAATAAGTGATATATTAACAAAACCTTATCATTTATAATAATGTGTATCCTTAAAATTAAAGAAAGATATGGAAATAGAAGAATGCTCCCATTAATATAAAATGATTAGAAGCTGTTGAGTGTGATGGATTGTCCAAGTCCGGATGCCTTGCTCTTGAAACAGAATGCTGGGTTAGAAAGTTAAGAACATTTCCTGGTTGATCACTTAGAAAATTAGCTCTTTCCCAGAGTTTCTGTCCTAGAACTCCTGAACCATTTTAGACCTGTGATCTTGGTGACCTTATATGCCTTCATTTCTCACACAATCTTCTCTAAAAAACAAATAGACTGAAGTCCCCACTGGAGTGGTGCTGACTATAATTTTAGAGTGGCAAGGTGACAAATCAGCACACACACCACAGATCTTCCAGTACCATAGATGCAGCAGTTTCTAGATGAGTCTTGACTGTAACAGAAGGCTAGGAGTTTTCATTTGAAAGGGATGTGGGCAGCAGGAAAAAAAAAAGGCTGCTAGATGTTTAGTGTTTGTCAAGGTAAACAATCAGAACTGAACAGCTGTAGTAAATACCAAAGTCCAAATTTTCAATTAACAAAATTCTCAATTAACAAAACAAAAATATATTTTTCCTTAACAGAACTGAAGAAATCCCAACAGTGTGTCATGTGCATGGCTAGTCTGCTTCCAGCTAGAGCTGGAATGTCACATATGTCCTCCATTCCTCACTCTTTTAATTCTTCCTCCTTTGGAAAGTGCTCTTGCTTACAGGCCACGTCCACGAGTAGATGAAGATCTAAAAAGAAAGGTTTGTTTACTGAATCTTGGCCTCTCAGACTGTAGAATTTGATAGACAAGTCTTCAGACAAGAAGAACAAGTTGCTTACATTTCTAAAATCATTATCTCATCAGATTCTAATTTTAGGGCATTCCTGTACTTATAAAGCACACTGATGCAGCCCATTTGTTAACCCAAAGAGACCAACAAAGTTTAAAATTTCTCTCCCTTCAGTGATGTGGCCAAGTCTTTTTTCATTTAAGATGCCTTTTATTATAAGTGAAAAATTAAGGAAAAGTGTCAAAGGGCTCAGGTGAAAAATACACATGAAAATTCATTTATTTGATGCTATAAGACTAGGTGGGGTGGGTTGTGAGAATATCAAAAAGGTAATACCTTCAGAAATACAATTTTAAAATAAGTAATTGCTACTTTTTCAAAGTTGCATGCCCCCGTAAATTTTTCACATATTGACTAACATAGCTGATATCTTATGAAAACATCTATGAACTCTTTGTAAAAAAGAAAGCATATACTTCACAGAGGTCAAGGGGGGAAGAGTGGTTCATTGAGAATAGGAATAAGTGAAAAAGAAGGTTTTGAGCTCAGGTACACGGTTCTGTAACTCAAAAAGCTAAGATCATGTACAGAAGTAGACTAAACGGCTTATCTGAGTAACACAGGCAGAAATAAAAGGATACTAATGAGGCTTCTAGATCCAATCTAATTAGTTCATAACTTCTAAAGTCATAACATGACTAGGGAGCCTTTTAGGTTGGTTCTGAAATTTACAATTTTGCCCTATGGCATTTTAGAGTTAAACTAAACTATATAGCATGAATCCTTTATTTCTTTCTAGACAATTTTGTGACTTTTGTGACTATGTTTGTAGAACACAGCCTCTGTGGGATTGATCCACAGCTTGAGTGAGAGAGCTGATTCAATAAAATAACTCTACTACCACCTTTGAGAAAATCTGGAAAGCATCTGAAAGAGTACCTAATGTTTGCCATATTTTGTAAAAGACAGACCAGTCAGTAGGGACAGGTATTCACTCATCATGTGAACTGCACTTACAATCTAACCATAAAGAACAAGCAATTTATTCAGATAAGCATCTTACAGAGGGAGAACAGACCATCAGTTTAACACTTAAAATTGGCTTCTTGCACATCCATGATCAGAGCAGCATGATTCATGATAGACAAAAGGCAGAAGCAATCCAAAGGTCCATTGACGAGTGAATGAATAAACTACATGCAATGGAATATTAGTCAGCCTTAAAAAGGAAAAGAATTCTGACATACAGGGAATTCCGACAACCTGAGGCCCATGGACTGCATGCAGCCCAGGATGGCTGTGAATGCGGCGCAACACTAAATCATAAATTTACTTAAAACATTATGAGATTTTTTTGTGATTACGTGTCTCAAGGTATTTAGTGTGTGGCCCAAAACAACTCTTCTTCCAGTGTGGCGCAGAGACGCCAAAAGGTTGGACACCCTTGTACAAACCTTGAAGACATTACATTAAGTGAAATAAGTCAGTCGTACAAATGCTGTATGATTCCACTTATATGAGGTATGAGGAGTAATCAAATTTATAGAGACAAAAAGTAGAATGGTGGTTGCCAGAGGCTGCAGGGAAGGGAACTACTGTATAACGGATCTGGAGATCAGTGGATGAAAAAAGATCTGGAGATGGTAATGACAGTAATGTGAAGGTACTTAATACCACTCAAACGTACACTTAAAAATGGTAAATTTTATATTATGTACATTTCACTACAAAAATGGCTTCTTTATAGTCTAAATATAGTCTAATACTGATAATAATGATAATGTACTACCTTATACATATCACATCTTTTTTCCAAGTAACTAAAATGCGTTATTATTATAAAGTAGCAATTTTCAACCAGTGTGCTGCGGCACACTGATGTGCCATAAGAATATTTAGAACATGCAATACCTGACCAATACCTGACCAATTACTCAGGGACACTGATCTCTTTTCCCTTAGATTCAAATACAAAAATGACAACAGCCAACACAACACAAGCCATTCAGTGTGAGTGAATCAAAATTATACCTTATTTTGGCAGATCAGAAAAAAAATATTTTTTTGTTGTACCACAGAATTTTAGTAATTAGTTTATGTATGCCATGAGATGAAAAAGGTTGAAAATTGTTGTTGTAAGGTCATCTAATGAGTCCTGAGGAGTAAATAAACACTAAGGGGAAGAACTTCTAAGCTTGGCTAACAAGTAAAGCCAGTGGTTTCTAAACCTTGCTGCACATTACAATCTTTAAAAAAAGAAAAACAAAACAAAACTGATTCCCTCGGCTCCTACCCCATACATTCTGATTTAGATAGTATAAAGTGCAACTTAGGCATTAGGATTTTAAGAAGCTGATCAAAAAGTGTAGAAGGAGTGAATTATGATCATTCTTTAAACACCTCAGCTCCATATCAGACAAGAAGTACAGGCCATATCCTAATGGAAAATACTAAAATAAAGATTTTGGATAGACCCGATTGTAACCCAACTTTGAAAGCAGAATAGGGATTCTTGATAATGACAAAGGTGACTACTAGTAAAGCAACTACAGATTTCATATGGGGTAGCAAACTGAAGGACAATAGCTACAAACCCTCTTCTTTTTTCAGTGAACAAATGTCATTTAATTGTTTATTAAGACTTTACCATGTTGACAGGTTCAAATAATGGACAAGAGCACAGCAAAGATAGGCATGTTTAAAATAACAATAGAGCCCTGGCTGCTGTGGCTCAGTGGAATGAGCACCGGCCTGCAAACTGAACGGTTGCTGGTTCGATTCCCAGTCAGGGTACATGCCTGGGTTGCAGGCCAGGTCCCCAGTAAGGGGCGTGTGAGTGGCAACCACACATTGATGTTTCTCTCCATCTCTCCCTCCCTTCCCCACTCTAAAAATAAAAATAACTTTTAAAAATCTTTAAAAAATAAAATAAAATAACAGTAGATAGATATATGGCTCTATAACAGCCTCGGAGTGAATTATGTAAAGTAGTTTGAGCAACAAATCCTCAGAACCTTAATGATTAAGCTTGAAAATAGCATTTGGCACACAGCTTCTAATAACAAGCATCTAAACATAGTTTTATTAAAGTGAACTTCTTTAATTAGCAAAGCTACCAATCAAGGAGTTAGAGTCTCTAGACCAATAAAAATACAAAAGATGTACACCAGCCTGGTGCTACTAGAGATTTATATGACTTCATTCAGAAGTGAGCCTTGCATACTCATCAGGGAAGTATGGTGTTTAGAAATTGTAGATGAGTTGGTTTGAGAGCTGAAAGGCCTTGATGGACAAGAGCACTGCACCTACTTGTTTGGGAATGTTAATTCCTACTGCAAGCACTCTCTAGGGTCTGGGGGCTATTACCTTAATGAAATCTCACCCATTATCCAATAGCTACAAAATTCCTTTCTTCAGCAATGAACTGAACTTTACTCTTAAACATTTAGTTTCCCTTAACTATAAATATCTCATCAGAATATAAGACATAACTTCCAGCCAAGATGGGGGTATAGGTAGATACGCTTTGCTTCCTCACACAGCCAAATGAAGGACGACGACAAATTTAAAAACAAAAATAACCAGAACTACCAGAAAATTGAACTGTATGGAAGTCTGACAACCAAGGAGTTAAAGAAGAAACATTCATCCAGACCAGTAGGAGGGGTGAAGATGGGCAGCCAGGACAGAGAGGATGAGTACCAAGGTGGCAGCTGGCAGCCCGGGCGGTCCTACATTTGCATGCCATAAACTGGGAGGAATAGCTGGAGGGCAAGAAAGACCATGCAATCCAGGGTTCCAGTGCAGGAAAAGAAAGCCTCAAAACCTCTGGTTGTAAAAACCGGTGGGGGATGCAGCAGAGGGAGAATCTCCCAGGCTCACGGGAGAGGTCATTGGAGAGACCCACAGGGTCCTAGAGTGCACACAAACCCAGCTACTCAGGAATCAGCACCAGCAGGGCCCAATTTGCTTACGGGTAGCTGGAGAAGTGACTGAAAGCTGGCCGAGAGCAAAGCAAGTGGGATTGTTCCCTCTTGGACCCCTCCCCCACATACAGCGAGGTGGATGGCCCCGCCCTGGTGAACACCTAAGGCTCCGCCCCTTCCAACATAACAGGGGCACTGAGACAAAGAAAAATGGCCCAAAGGAAAGAAGAGGTCAAAGCTCCAAAAATAGAACTGAACCATAAACAGATAGCCAACCTATCAGATGCAGAGTTCAAAACACTGGTTATCAGGATGCTCACAGAAATGGTTCAGTACAGTCGCAAAATGGAGGGAAAAATGAAGGCTATACAAAGTGAAGTAAAGAAAAATATACAGGGAACCAACAGTAAAGGGAAGGAAACTGGGACTCAAACCAACTATTTGGAGCAGAAGGAAGAGATAAACACTCAACCAGAACAGAATGAAGAAACGAGAATTCAAAAACAATGAGGAGAGGATTAAGAACCTCTGGGACAACTTTAAACGTTCCAACATCTGAATCATAGGGGTGCCAGAAGGAGAAGAGGAAGAGCAAGAAATTGAAAACTTATCTGAAAAAATAATGAAGGAGAACTTACCCAATCTGGCCAAGGAAATAAACTTCCAGGAGATCCAAGATTCTCAGAGAGTCCCAAAGAAGCTGGACCCAAGGAAGCACACACCAAGGCACATCATAATTACATTAACCAAGATTAAAGATAAGGAGAGAATCTTAAAAGCAGGGAGAGAAATGGAGATAGCTGTCTACAAAGGAGTGCCCATAAGACTATCATCTGATTTCTCAAAAGAAACCTTGCGGGCAAGAAGGGGCTGGCAAGAAATATTCAGTCATGAAAGGCAAGGACCTACATCCAAGATTACTCTATCCAGCAAAGGTATCATTTAGAATGGAAGGGCAGATAAAGTGCTTCCCAGATAAGGTCAAGTTAAAGGAGTTCATCATCACCAAGCCCTCGTTATGTGAAATGTTAA